CTCACGGACTTCTATGGCGACGATGCTGCTGAGAAGAAGGCCGCGGCTGATGAGTCTGTTTGCCTTTGCGTCGCCGCTCTCCGCATCCGGGAGCGCACCGTGGAGCACCCGCTGTTTCGCCACATGGTGCCAACTGGAGTCAACTGCTGAAACCGGTGGTGGCGTTCTGCACCGACGGTGGGAGCAACTATGCCAAGGCTGGCCGCAAGTTGCTGGAGGAATGGCCGCACATCGAGCATGTGCCGTGCACTACTCACGTCCTCGATTTCATGATGGAAGACTTCGGGGAGCTCACGTGGGCCAAGACGGTGGTGGAGAGGACGGATAAGATGAACACGTTTATCCGCAACCATCACATGACGCGGGCCTTCTTGAGGAACCCGGCAAACCATGGTGGGAAGGGGCTGCAGGCATTGAAACCTGCTGGCACTCGTTTCGGGACACATTACATTTCCATGTCCCGCTTGTGTGAGTTGCGCGCAAACCTGACGACGATGGTCTGTGTCGATGTGTGGGAGGGATGGGCAGTGGGGAAGGTGAAGGAGAGTGCGGATGCGTTCAAAGGGTATGTCCTTGATCCGGCGTGGTGGACAACCGCCGAATTCTTTTGCAAGTTGATGAAGCTGCCTTTTTTGGTGATGAGACAGACGGACTCCGCGAAGAAGGGGATGATGGGCCGTATTTATGATCTTATGCTGCAGTGCAGCTGACCGAGGACATTAACAAGGTCCTGGAAGAGGATGAAAAGCAGTTGAGCCAAAAGGACAAGAAGGATATTGCCCGCATTGTGAAGGAACGATGGGATGGGAGCCTCGCATGCGCGCTCCACGTGGTTGGTCGGATTCTAAGTCCGGCCAACCAAACTGAGGGAATATTCGGGAAGGATGCAGAGTGCACTCGGGTTATGAAGGGCTGGATGGGGCGCGCGGTTGAGTTCTTGGATGCTGCTGGGGAGGAGGGGGCGGATACAATCATAGAGGGTCTGATGGCATATGTGGATGGTGTGGGGAGCTTTGGGATGCCCCTGGCAAAGGCACATCGGGCAAAGGTGAAGGAGGGGAAGATGGACATGGAGATGTGGTGGGCTTGGAACGGAACCGATAACGTGGCTCTCGCGACACTGGCGCGTCGAGTGCTTGCCCAACCTGTTTCCACATCCCCTTGCGAGCGGGGCTGGTCCACCTGGGATTCCGTGCACACGGCGCGGCGCAACAGGCTCGGTTCTGAGAAATGTCGGGACCTGGTCTATGTAGCCCACAACTGGAATGTGGTGCTGAAGGTGGAGCAGGGATTCGGTCGCGCGGGCAGGGTAATCGTGTCAGGGAACATCCCTGAAGCCCCGATCCCAGAGGGTTACAACGTACCTGAGGAGGGTGAAGACGAAGAGGAGGGGGGAGAATGAGGCGGATAGGAAGGTGTTTGCGGACGAGTATCAGTAGATGGCCGAAAGTGTGTGTGTAGAAATATTTATTTGGATAAATCTGTTTTTTTTTTTTGTTATGACATTCTTTCTGGAAATGTATGGTGTTGTGGCGGGTACCCCCCTTTTCCCCCTCTCCCCCCCTCTTTTTTTTCCCCCTGCCCGGAAATTTTTTTTCCCCTGCCCGGCCCAAGCGTCCAGGTCCTGACATCCGAGCGTCCAGCGTATATACGCCAGCGTCTGGACGCTGGCGTATAGAACGCTGGACGCGTCCATGTCCACATAGACCCAAACCAAGCGCGTTCGCACTAATTTTTAACCTAACAACGCCCTTGGTCACATCACCCTTGGTTCGCACAAAGCCCTTGGTCACATCACCTTCCCTTCCCAATCCCCACATATCCTCCTCATTTCTTATTTCCACAATATAGCCCTACACATAAGCTGTCTTTCCCCAAGCTTCTTTACCGTGTCTAGTGACCTAAACCCAATGTTACTCGAAAAGTTAGCAAAAAGTGTGATAGGGCGGCGCAGCACAGGTGTGTCGTAGGATCTTGACAAAATGTAGAAATCAACACGTGCTGGTTTTCACGCAAACCCCATTCGGTCCACGTCAAATCAATAAACAGGCGGCAAACGTGTTTGCCAACCCAACAAACAATCCGAATGTGTCCGCCTACGACGGGGTCGGGTTCGCATTTTTGCTCATGCCAATCCCCTCAGTGCGAGTGTCCCTGTAGCCAGGACAGATGTGACGGGCAGAAAGCAGCCTGACCCAGGCTGACCCAGACGGGCTTAACAGGCTAGATCTGGTCCGGGAATGTCCACAACCATCCTGACCAAGGCCGAACCTTGTTCGAACAGTGCTCATCCTTCGATGAGCTAAAATGTTTGATGTGACGCGTACAACCATAAAAAGAGCACGCAAAGCTAGGCATGAGCAATGGGTCGATCCGTCCCAGCCCGTCCCCACCCATGAAAGGCTTAGGCGGGTACGATTTAAGCCTATAGGATCTGGCTGGCTGTGACACGAGGGGGCAGGTCATGCTGACCCGGAGGTGACTCGGTTCGACCAGACCAGATGGCTGGCCATATGCCTATCCGTATGCCTGATGAAAAAATGAAGAACAGCACGAAGGGAGGGGGGATGAGGGGGGGGGGAGCAAGACGATCCTAGTGCAGGCCAATAGCTTCCACGAGTTGATTCCACTGAGTACAAGAAATCATCGCAGGAGGGGTTACAGGGAATATGTATGGGGGGTTATGGCTCGAAGTCCAAGCAGCCCTTCAAACCAGGGTTTAGGGTAAGGACTTAGGATATGAAGGGACTTCTAACTGATAGTTTGAAACCCATACACACCCCACTCTATGTGTCACCACTCATTGTGTGCTTATCCCCAGCCTTTAACGAGGTGCTTCATACAGGTAAGTGAGCTGAGGAAGCGTGAATACATTGCTGGGAATGGAGCCCGTCAACCTGTTGTTTGAAAGACACCTTTGTGTGCGAGGTTATGGATTGGAATGGAATAAGTGACGACATGAGAATAGAGGGCAACTGTTGTTTGAAAGAGACCTGTGTGTGCGTGGTATGGGTTGGGGAGGAAAAGTAAGTGAGGAGATGGAGTGACATGGAGTGAGCAAAAGCAAGCACACGCAATCGATTTGAATGGGATGTGACACGAGCATGTTGGGAGACACGCATGAGTGAAAACTGAATTGCAGTTCGGTTCGAGGCGAACGGGTTCATGCAAAAAACAAAGTTTGAGTTGTTAACCAGTTCGACTAAGTTCTGGTTTCACCAGGGCTAGAAGGGGGGGAGGGGGGGGGGGCAGGAAGAGGAGTGGCCATATGCGTCGTAATCAACCGAAACCCCTTCTTTCTTGTTTGCCATTGATCTTTGACCATACATGCTTAGCACCAGGCTCAAACGAGGAGCTTCATACAGATAGCGAGATCAGAAAGCGAGTGAATGCCGTTGGGAATGGAACCCATCAAATTGTTGTTTGAAAGGACCCTGTGTGTGCATGGGATGAGTTGGGGAGGAGATGAGATTAATGGGCATGGACCGAATGACATCAAGCGCACAGAGTGGACCTAATTGGAGGATGAGACTAGCATGGTAGGAGGCAGGCATGAGGAAACCGAATTGCAGTTCGGTAGGCAAACGGTTCAAGTCACACACCCAAGAAGTCACACACCCAAGAAGTCACACACCCAAGAAGTCACACACCGTGGTTGGCCTAATCTGGGATGGGGAGGGCCAGGAAGTTGGGCTGTGATATATTCATCCTGACTTGGCTAGCAAGGCAACTGCATGGCCATATACGTTATGATTACCTGAAACTCGTTGCTTTCTTCCGTGCGTGTGGCATCTGGGATATTAGACTAAGGATATTCCCTCGAGGAATTTAAAATGTTTATGTGATCGCCCAGAGTGTTTGTTCATACCAGACTGAAAGGAGGTGCTTCATACAGATATTTGAGCTGAGAAAGCCCGGAGATGCTGTTGGGAATGGACCCAGTCAAACTGTTGTTTGAAAGAACCCTGTGTGTGAAAGGGTTTAGGCGAAAAAGGTGAGGAGATGAGAATATTGGGCATGGACAGACAGAGGGTGCAACAGCACAGCAAGCAACACAAGCAACCCAAGCATAAAAAAAAAAAGGTGAGCTCATGATTTTTCTGTGAGGTTCTTACAGAACACTTAGTGCAGCGAGAGAGGAGATGCTGTCAGGAATAATCCCCTTAAGATCCGCCGCCGAGTAAGAGCTACGAGGGGTTTGGGTGCGGGAGGAAATTGAGGAAACCAGACGGAAAACACGAGTGACGCCAGCACTGGGAATAAACGGTGCAGATTCCACCAATGCGCGCAGAAATCAATCAACACAAGCCTGCAGGATTGGCAACTTGTGTGGGATCCAATCCATTCTAGACGAAACACGATCACACTCACATCATGATCATATAATCATACTCACACCTAGGGATGAGCAAGGTGGCGAACACGTTCGAGGCGAACCGAACAGGTTTTGTTTTTTAGCTCAAATCGTTCGCCGAACAGTGTTCGATGTTCGCCCGAACACGTTCGTGTTCGGGCCGCTGCTGAAATTTGCCCGCGACGAACACGAACAGTGTTCGAGGTTCGCCCGAACACGCCTCCACAGGCGAACAGCGAACACCTGTTTTTTCCTAAACTGTTCGCCGAACCGAACAGTGTTCGGTTCGGCAAAAGAGGGTGTTCGACAAGGGGCGAAGACGAACATGTTCGTGTTCGCCCTTTGCTCATCCCTACTCACACCATAATCGCACTTACATCATGATCAGATCACGCTTACATCATGATCACACTTACCTCATGATCACACTTACATCATGGTCACAACACAATCACATCATGATCACAATCACATCTTGATCACAGTCACATCTTGATCACACTTACATCTTGATCACAGTTTACATCTTGATCACACTTACATCTTGATCACACTTACATCTTGATCACACTTACATCTTGATCACACTTACATCTATCTTGATCACAGTTACATCTATCTTGATCACGCTTACATCTGGGAAATCATGCCTGTATCGTCACAGAAGAGTCCTAGGGCGTAAAAACAGTCAGCACCCACGACCCAGCTTTGGACCGCCTTTCCCCATGCCTTCTGGCAGTCCCTGAGAAACACAGCTGGCAGTTGGGAACAGGAGAGAGGAGAGGAGGGAAGGAGTGAGAGAAGCACAAGGTGATGAGAAGAAACAGCCTACAGGACTGCTTTGTGACATGGATGGATGTATACAGATTGGACCGCCTTTCCCCGTGCCTTCTGGCAGTCCTTGAGAAACACATCTGACAGTTGGGAACAGGAGAGGAGAGAGAGAGAGAGAGAGAGAGAGAGAGAGAGAGAGAGAGAGAGAGAGAGAGAGAGAGAGAGAGAGAGAGAGAGAGAGAGAGACAGAGGCACATGAGCCCTCGAGTGAGGGAACAGTTAGCACCCACGGCCCAGATTTGGACCGCCTTTCCCATGCCTTCCGGCAGTCGTGAAAAAACCAGCTGACAGTTGGGAACAAGAGGGGAGAGAGAGGGACAGAGGCACAGACGAGGAAAGTTCCAGCTCTAGTACTGAAGACCAGGGAAACCAAAACGGATTACCCGGCTCAAAAGTCCCCGGACCTGCAACACCATCCTGACGCACCAACGCTGCCCGAAACCCAATTTGGAGGGGAGTGCTGGCATCACTCATTCTGGCGTCACTCGTGCCGCGCATAGCAGCCCAGTTAGGTGCTGTGAGTGGGTGTGCCTGCTTCAATCTGATTGTGCAAACGACACCGCCAGAAGCACACCCACTCGCTGAGTAGTCATCGTGTGGGGGGGGGGGGGGGGGGGGAGGGAGGCAAATTCAAGGCTCTGCTGACCGCTGCCCTGTTGGCCCACCCGCAGCCTTCTCTCTGCTGACTGCTGCCTTGTCGGCTGACCCTCAGCCTGCGCTCTGCTGACAGCTCTGCCGCAATGCCCTTTATTTTGAGGCGCCTCAAAATACGCCCGCCTGCAGCCTTCTCTCTGCTGACTGCTGCCTTGTCGGCCGAACCTCAGCCTGCTATCTGCCCACAGCTGCCGCAATGCCCTTTTATTTCGAGGCGCCTTTGCCGCAGCGGGGTGCAACTTTGCCTACCTGGCAGCGAGGTGCAACTTTGCCTACCTGGCAGCGGGGTGGAACTTTGCCTACCTGGCAGCGGGGTGGAACTTTGCCTACCTGGCAGCGGGGTGCAACTTTGCCTACCTGGCAGCGGGGTGCAACTTTGCCTACCTGGCAGCGGGGTGCAACTTTGCCTACCTGGCAGCGGGGTGCAACTTTGCGTCCACGGCGGAGTGCAGCTTCGCCTACCTGCAACCCTCCTCACGCAGCTCAGATGGTGTCTCTTTGGTCAGTATGCCCTCTCTTTGGTCAGTATGCCCTCTCTTTGGTCAGTATGCCCTCTCTTTGGTCAGCATGCCCTCTCTCTTTGGTCAGAACGCCCTATCTCCTAGAGCAGAGCAGGAAATTGGTTGATGCCGTCCCTTTTACCCACTGATGGGCCACACGCAGTGGTTGACATCCCTGGTTGGCTCGGGAGCAGGGGATTGGCTGATGGCCATCCCACCCACTGATTGGCTCATGGCTGTCCCCTTTACTCACAGTCTGCGGCTCTCTCCTGCCCACTTCGCGTCAGCCCTGGCGTTCCAGCTCGACCTACCCCAGGAAGCACCTGGCTGTACACACCACACCAGCCTGAGTGGAGGGGAGGGGCTGAACTGAAAGCTGGCATTGCAAGTTAAGTTTTGAGGCGCCTCAAAACAAGGGTGTGTGGCCTGCTGGGAGACTACGATGTACACACCACACCATTGGATGGGAGGGGCTGAAGTGAAAGCTGACACCGCAATCCGCCACCCCGAATCTGGGGTGGTGTGAATCTGTGATGTTATTGTCAGTCACGGACCCAATTTCCCCCCCGGTCGCACAGCGTGGGGCGGACCAATCTCCTGCCAGGTCCCCACGGCATCGCACAGCGTGGGGTGGGCTGTGCGGCTCGCGGCACGGGTGAAGGAACACAAGCACCGCCACCCGCTCGGATTGGGTGGGATTCATTCATGGTTCATTCATCGCCATACATGTCCACACCTGCTGTTACTTGTGAGGCGCGTCAAACAGGGTTCATGATTCATTCATCGCCATGCCTGTCCACACCAAGGATAAAGAATATGGTTGTCGTATTATACGGGCCATTTTTTACGGTCAATTTTCAAATCTGCGGTTTTTTTGTTAGAGCTTTTTTCTCCGCAAAAAAGAAGTATCAAACTTAAGACTTGCTACCATCCACTTCTAGGAATGTGAACATCAAAGAAATTGCTAACTATCAGGCCTAAAAAGCTGCTCCCCCCCCGAAACTCAGACCATTATAAGCGGTCCCTATCGGTTGCGGCGATTTCGCCCGCCGATCTGCGCATACCGGCGATTTCGCCCGCCGATCTGCGCATATCGGCGATTTCGCCCGTCGATCTGCGCATATCGGCAATTTCGCCCGCAGATCTGCGCAGATCGGCGATTTCACCCATAGCTCTGCACAGATTGGCGATTTCGGTGGTCAATTTGAATTCGCCACGAACTGAGAACCCTAAGTCAGGCACCCCTCCCTCCTCGTCAAAATTGTTGGAACTCACTGTCCCAACCAATTCGTCGCCACATACCACTTGTCACCGCACTGGATCTACAAGACCCAACTAGGGATGAGCAAAGTCCCGAACGCCTGTTTCGGTTCGCCTCGAACATGTTCGAGGCGAACTGAACACGCAATTTTTTTTGCCAAAATTGTTCGGGGCCGAACATGTTCGGTGTTCGGCCGAACATGTTCGACGTTCGCCCCAGAATTTCGGGTCTCCAAGCCGAACACGAACATGTTCGTGTTCGACTTGGGGGCCACGCGAACACCAAAAAGGTTCGCATCAAAATTGGCCGCGACCAGATTTAGGTCGCAGCCAATTTGTGTTTGAGCTCATTTCGTGAGCTTAAACTCAGAACTCGTTTTCGCCTTAGCTCTCCATCACACAGCCGCCCTAGCCTCCTTGTTCTAGGTGCAAGCAAGTGCACGCTGATACTTGCAATGTACACGGACATTAGATCTATGCATAGGGTTTAACGTAGTGTAGGGTGTTTAGGGTTACTATTAAAGTTCAGCCAGCATCTCCACAAAGGGCTCAAGTAGGGCGTATCCTACGCCGTAGGATTCGGATCGCGCATTTCAGAGACCTAACCGTGCGGGATAACGTTTAGGAACGTGCGGCACCATCCAACGCTACCGTTGCAGGAAGGGTGTTTTAGGGTTTAGGGTCGAGGGCGGAGTTATGGCTTCCAGGGCTGGTGGATCCATAGGCCGAGGTGCAGGCAGGGCTCAGGGCAGCGCACCGGGATCTCCACCACGACCTATGCAGGGGCGAGTAGGGGATGGACCGGGAGGAGCCGGCGCGATCTTCGTTGGGGGGTTGCTTACCGTACCGGCGCCGACCTCTCGTCGCTCTTTCCGTTACGACGGCCCTCGACCCCCTTGTCGCATGACTCTTGAGAATGAGTTCACAAAGGTTCATGAGACAGCTCCTAAGGTGAGTACGGTTAGATAAGTTGTCAGGGAAGTAGTATAGTTTGTATTGTAGTGAAGTGTACTGTAGAATGTACGGGTAGGAGGGTTGTGGCGATATCGGAATTACGGCAGGAACAGGAGAATCGAGGGTGGGGCCACTCGAAAGGAGGTCAGGACGGGACAATGGTTGACCTGGCAAGGGCCACCGGTGAACTGGAAGGGGGACAGGGGTGACAAGGCTTGGCCGAGCCGCATGCAGGAAAAATGCCCCAAGGGTTGGGCGGTGCGAGGGGTAGTTGGCAGACCCCGAGGGTCAAATCCACGAGGGGTGACAGGGAGCCAAAACCAGCTCGGCAAGGACACCAACTCACTTTTGTTTGTCTTCTCGTAATTGTGGGAAAGCTTGTGATTCAGTTGTGATCTGTTGTCAAGCTGAGCAACTGCTAAATCCACGCCGGAGAAGCCAAACTAGTGCGGCCAGTTGTGCCTAGGAAAAGAAACTAGCTACTCGCGTCGAGAGTTTCTTTTACAAACAAAAGTCATGGCGGGCATGTCACTACGTAGTGGTGCCAAGCTGTCCGGAATGGGAGAACCACCGGAGAAGGAAGGAGTTCCATCGGGGAACGAAGTGAAGAAAGCCCGGGGGAGAGATCCGATCCCGAGCGAGTAACTGCCCGGAATGACGCCGAGGACAAGGGCCGGCAGGAAGAACAACGCGGAGGTGGTACGACCCCCCGCGGTTCGGGACGATCTGCGATGCGCGCCGAGAGAACCCAGGGAGAGCGGTCGCCGTCAGAAGAACAGGCGACGGTGGCGGGGAGGGGCATCGCTGCGCCAATTGCTGGATCAGAAGGAGGAAGGGGAGGGCAGGTGACGCCATCCGGAAGCGGGAATTCAAGACGCTCGCTGTGGGAGGAGGGGTCACGTTACCGATACACCAGCCTCCCTAAGGTGGAGGTTCCGAGTCGCTTCAGTGGAGATCAAGAGTCGGGACCGAGAGTGAAGACCTACGCGATGCACTTGCGGAACGAGAGATACGGATGGGAGATGGACAGCCTGGATTTACGGCACTTCTTCAGATCTTTGGGGAACACGCTGGCGGGGGAGGCGAAAGCGTTTTACCTGGAGATTAGGGACCCGCTGCTGCAGGAGGAAGAGCGAGACGAGGAGGGCCGACTGCTACGGGACGAAGAAGGGAAGCCCATCCGCTTACGGGATCCGACGGAGCGCTTCCTGCAAGAATTGGCGGCGCACTTCCCCACGCAAACGCCGGCCAGGATGAGGGAGTTCGACCAGTTGAGACGAGGTTCACGAGAGTCTCTCCTGGGCTATTACCGGCGAGTGCATCAACTGGCGGAGGACATCGGCTGCAGCGAACCGCGTATTATAGTAGCCAAATTTTTGGACGGCCTGGCCGGAGAGCTAGAGCGGACCGTGAGGGATCGGACATACGACCTGGGTCCCAACGCCACGCTGCGACAGGCGTATGAAATCGCATGGCGTCACGAGCAGTCCCTGAGCCTCTATGACCTGGGGAGGAAGACTGATAAGCTGCCCAGGGAGAGAGAGCGCAGGGGAGTCGGCTGGGGAGGGGCCCTACTGGCGGGAGAGGAGGCGGAAGAGGAAGACCAGGAAAGGGATCGAGCCTCTAAGAGTCGGACGCGGAAGCCTCGCAGCTCGGCCTACTCTCCTGGAGAAGAGCCGGTCTGTTACAAGTGCCGGGAGCCGGGGCACTTAAAGAGGGACTGCCCCAAGCTGCAGACCTGCTCCTATTGCCAGAGAAAGGGGCATCAGGCTGACAATTGCTACACTAAGCAACGCGAGCAGAAGGGTCGAGGGAAGGAGAGGAAGGATCGAGGAGCTGGAAGAAGAGCTGAGGAGGCTTCGGGCAGAGGAAGAGGACACGATGGCAGAAGAGGAAAAGCCAGTCCA